AATCATCCTCTGTGGACAGAGGCTCTTCACGGAGTTTGAAGTGTTAGCAGTTCTTCTTTATGTGGAGATAGTGAGGATGGAGGAGGAGAAGCAGCCAGCTCTCATCCATTCTTGTCCATTGGTTGAAACTGGGTAACAGCATGTCTCATGTCAACCTCTACAAGGTGCTGAATCTGCACCTGAGACTCTTGACAAGACTCTCTTGAGCAGACACACTTTGAGTCACTGTATATTGTTCCAGAAATAGGAAGGTAGAGCCTGTAAACTCTATAACCTTGTTTATTTCAATACCGCTTCTTTTGAATGAAAGCTCTCTTTCACTTTCACCATTTTTATATGCTTCAGGGACTCATTACTGTAAGCATTTATTCATTACTTCCTTGTGTGTTTTCAAAATAGGGAGCATCCTGAACCTGTAAGAGTCTTTAATTAACTTTAATTAATCTTCAGTTGTGTGTGTGTTTGTGTGTAGACAGAAAGACACACACACATGTAATACATAAAACTTCAGGAGAAAAAAAATCCACTGATCATCTTCATTTCCCTTTAGCCCAAATCCTCAAGCAGTTGAATGGCTGGAAAAGCAGCCCCCCTCCTGCCCAAGCTCACAGAAATTGTGAACCTGTGCTCAACATAAACCATGTCACTCCTTCAGACCCCTCCCACTGTGCAAATTAATGAGGGCTTATGTGTGAGGGAGCAGCATGTGTGCTACATCAGCTTGTGGAGCTAAATCCTGTTCAGGTGCCCTGTGAACCAGTTTAAATCAGCATGTGATTCAAATCCACTTTGTCTATTTTATTTTCTACATATGGAAAGTTATAAAGAGGAATCATCCTCTGTGGACAGAGGCTCTTCACGGAGTTTGAAGTGTTAGCAGTTCTTCTTTATGTGGAGATAGTGAGGATGGAGGAGGAGAAGCAGCCAGCTCTCATCCATTCTTGTCCATTGGTTGAAACTGGGTAACAGCATGTCTCATGTCAACCTCTACAAGGTGCTGAATCTGCACCTGAGACTCTTGACAAGACTCTCTTGAGCAGACACACTTTGAGTCACTGTATATTGTTCCAGAAATAGGAAGGTAGAGCCTGTAAACTCTATAACCTTGTTTATTTCAATACCGCTTCTTTTGAATGAAAGCTCTCTTTCACTTTCACCATTTTTATACGCTTCAGGGACTCATTACTGTAAGCATTTATTCATTACTTCCTTGTGTGTTTTCAAAATAGGGAATAAAGGGAAAGTTATGGTTTATTTCATTTTCCATTTAGCTTCTTCCTGGTTTGTGGACTGCTACAGTCAATGATTTTCTGTAATATGGGTATAGGTCTGGGTACCTATAAGTTGTAATTTGGCTTAATAAAGAGGGGGTTAACAGATACGTCCAGGTCATGAATGAACTCAGTCCTCACCATGACCCTCAAAGCGTTGTAATACAGAATTCAAAAGGACCTCTAAATACTCCTGTGGAGCCCAAACTCTGATCCAATGTTTCTAACGTTCTTAAGATCAGCCCCTAAATATTTTCTAAAAATGAATATATAATTAGGCCTTAGAGCAGAGGTGAACAAGCTGTGGGTATCTGGAAACCATTTTTTCTCAGGACCCTCCAAGGACCATCCCGCCCCCAACAACCAAAACTGTAAGTGAGATTTACATGGGGTTTCAAAAGATGAGGCTCTTCCATGTGGTGAATCCATTTTTCTGTACCTTTTTACTCTGGAAGCTACCGAAAAAGCCTTGGACAGCTACATATAGTTGCGGGGTATATAATTTCTATTCCTGCCTTAAAGCCTGATAGTGGGGCTTACCTAATATAATGTAGGATTGCTGCCTTTTTAAAAGTCAGAAGCAGAGTATAGCTGTAGTCAAGAGGTGGAAAAGCTCTTAAGCGTAACCTGGTTTATACCTTTGGACATTTTTGCTAACAAGAGCATAAGCTACTTGCCAGGAGGAAGGTGCAGAGGAAAGAAGAATCCAATTCCAATATGTCTGATACCTAGAGCACCCCAATCAGCAGGTAACAAAATTGCTAGCCGAAAGACTAATTGAAATCATCCTTGCTATACTTTTTGTAAAGAGTGTCCTGAATCCTAGTGTATATTTCCACGAGCTTAATGCCTTCAGAAGAACCTCCCACAGCAAATTGCTGCAAGTTAAGAAGTCAGAGTAGACATATTTCATCACCTGCCAAAGTCAGGTGATGTGTGTTTGAAATGGAGAGAGTCTTGTTTTCTAAACAATGTCAGGCATGATTTATTTTTGGCCTTGAAATCACAAAATCTATTCAAAACCGCAGGTATATCTCAAAGGCCTATCACTTTCTGCCTTGGATTCTTTTTTAAGAGAATAAACATTTACACAGCAATATAAAAGTGAACCTAGGCAACTTGTCCTCACACACAAAGCAAGTCTTTGTTCCTTTGATCTGACTGGAGCAGTTTTTTCATAATACTGTTGGAATTCTTCAGAAGAAATCTAAGATTTTAGCTACTTGCTGCTTACTAATACTCATGGAATTCAAATACTGAAGACTATCTTTAGTGTGTGAACAGTTGGTTATTTACCCTTTCATCTGTGCTGTTTGAGGATTACTATTCTTTCGCTCTTTTTTTGCTTTATGAAATATTCTGATTTTAAATGTTGTGGCTCAAGGTATTTTTAGGAAGCAGACAGAAAAGCTATTTTTGGTACTTCTGCTTCACGGAATATTGTCATGCAAGCACTGTCCTGCTTTTTTAAAAAATAGACTAAATATGAATAATTCTAAATAAGAATATTTTCCCCCAGGAATTAGAGATGTTTTGAAGCCTCCTTGACATAATCTGTATCTATACAAAGGGCATACAGATCTTACAACCAATCTACCCTGTACTTTTAAGAAACATTCTTATTAAACGGGAATAAAAGTAACCAGCTATGACCTGGGGAGAGGGCAACATACGTAGTACCTTAATTGTGGGACTCATCCACTCAAAGCCCTTATAATGATAATCTGTCCACAGTCACATATATTCAGTCCTACCTGTATGATAATTGGTTGTTGTGGGTTTTTTGGGGTCTTTGGTTGTGTTCTGAAGGTTGTTCTTCCTAACATTTCGCCAGTCTCTGTGGCTAGCATCTTCAGAGGACAGCACTCTGTGCTCTGGACTCTGAAGATGCCGGCCACAGAGACTGGCGAAACGTTAGGAAGAACAACCTTCAGAACACGGCCAAAGAGCCTGAAAAACCCACAACAACCATTAGATCCCGGCCGCGAAAGCCTTTGCGAATATATTGTATGATAATTCTTCAGTAAAGTTTAACAAACTAAGTTGTGAGGCAAAGGAAAGAAAATTTGCTCACATTCACTCACTGTGTAGTTGAATGGGGGCTTTGGCTCTTTTCTATTTCAGTGGCTGCACAGGTAGATTGGAGAAGCCTTGTTATTGCAGTTCTATGGAAGTGCCTGTAGGTGATGCGATTTAAAGGAATTGTCTTAAGAACATATTTTCGTACTCTATTACTCATTTCTTCATCTTAAAAATGAACTTTTGCCAATGGGAAGAGCTTCATTAACCTTCATCAAATTGTAAATTAAGTAAATACACAAATAAAGAGGGAGCTCTGTCCACAGAGGAGAAGCTGTTAAAAAGTGTATTGGGAAGGAGGCTTTGCTGAAAGCAAGTGCTGGTGCTCTGTGTGTGTCTGCATGTGTGTGCATGTGCAGCATGTCCTCCTTCATGAGACAGAAGACAAGGGAGAAGATGCTTTGGCAAAGCACATTTTCTGTGTGCATGCATGCACCTGGCTTGTCCTCCCTTTCTGCATTGGTTGAAGGAATCACATGCCTGAACTCATCTAAAAGGATGCGTATTTTAAGAAGTAGAAGCCTCCTTGTTGGGGAGGAAAAATTAAAGATGGGGGAAGGGACTCCAGGCTGATTCATTTTTTCCCTTGGCTCATGTGATCAATGGAAAAATGCAAATCAGCCTGCCCTGAGCCTGTAGTATTTCCTGCATTTTTTTTTTGCTAATAAGGTCATCTCCTTAGAAAAAGAAGAAAAAGAAAGAAAACTTCCAGAATGCAAAAGGTCAAAAAGGCAATCTAAACAGGAACGCAAATCTTTCTCTTTGCTCTCCAGCTCTGTAAAATGACTGGTTGCGCAGTTGCAGTGGATAACTAAACTTTATGGTGACCTCAGCCTGACCTCTCCCTAATATCTCAGTGGTCTGAGTGTCTATATTCAATGTTCAGTTGTCACTCGCCTTCTCTTTGCTGTATAATTATATATACCAAAAGCAAAAGTGATTATTTTACCAACAATTGCTTGCACAAAGCACACCTAAGGGAGAACATCAAATTCAACTCTACCAAGTGGTTTTTAATCAATATATTTCAAGCTCGTGTGCTGTGGTGCAGTGGTCCCCAACCTTGGGCCTCCAGATATTTTTGGACTTCAACTCCCAGAAATCCTGACCAGCGGAGGTGGTAGTGAAGGCTTCTGGGAGTTGTAGTCCAAGAACATCTGGAGGCCTAAGTTTGGGGACTACTGCTATGGCGGACAGCCCACACATCACTTCTGTCAGTCATTTTAGTGCTCTGGTGCAGAAGCCAATGACAGGACAGGAGGGGCGGAGTCAAGAAAATTGGGAGTGCCAGAGAGGCAGTTAGAGAGTGTGAGAGAGAGAGGGTTAGGAAAAAGATGGTGAAGCATTTAGACGGTTAGAGAGAAGACTGTGAAGTGTTAAGACAAGAGATTGGACAGTTGGTTAGGTAGAGAATATTAAAGAGTTAAAAGAAATTATAAGTACAAAGACTGGCAAAATATATTGAGATCTTGAGTAAAGCAAATGAATACAAGCAATCTTACATGTAATCAAATCCATGTTTAGTAAATGAAAGATAATAGAACATCCGTGATTTTCCTTCTGTGATTCACTTATTAATCCTTAAATAAACCTTGTGTTATTTGGCAGCAAGAGTGCGAGACTCATAATTGATCTAGTGAGGATAATATCCTCTGATGGCAGCGAAAAGGTGGGAAATTACAGGTCGTATCTGAAGGTGAACTTGTGTGAGAGGCAAAACACACAGGGGTCACTTGGGGGTACGCGACATTTGCAAACTCTGAAAGTTAGAGATTATTTATTATAGCTATAAAGCCAACACTCTTTTGCAGCCAGCAGTTCCGCATGTTATTTTACTTTGAATTTTCCCTTTCCTCAATTTGAATTGCCTACCATCTTTTTAACCCTACAAATGCTGAATGGGATATGAAATACTGTATCTGTTTTGGTATTTCTCCACCCTAGGAATGTATAGTGACTCCTTGCTGTTCCCCATCCTTGCTCTGGAATCACACAAATACCCAACTTTTCCACATTTTGCTCAAAGACAGTGGGCATGACTGGCAAGTGGCATCCCTCCCCTTTTATTTATTTACTCCGTTATACCATAGACACATCATAGCAATGCTTAAGGATGACTCAAAACAAGCTCTGTTAGGGCAGTTAATGTTTTCTTTTCTTTTCTTTTTGTTTTGTTTTTATATTTGACACTACGTCAGTGTGGAAACATACCGTTCTTGGAAGTTTTCAGAAGCAGTCTCTGAACTGTCAGCTGATATGCCACCCAGTGTGTAGGGCACTTCATGTTTATTTTATTTTATTTTTGTTTTGTTTTTATATTTGGCACTACATCACTGTGGAAACATACTGTTCTTGGAATTTTTCAGAAGCAGTCTCTGAACTGTCAGCTGATAAGCCACCCAGTGTCGAACATAATACAAAACTGTAGAAAAACATAAAAAGAGGCCTGCTGGATCAGTCAAAAAGTGCATGTGACCTAGTATTCAATTCCCTAGTCCATATGAGAGACACAGAACAGGAACGTAATAGTACTGTCCCTTAGTAATTGTTACATAGAGGCATATTGGCTATGACACCTGTGGCAATATGTAGCCAACATTCTTGCCGTCCACATTATATTCTGCATCTTTTTCTAATCATCTATTAGACCACCCAAATAGATGCCCCTAATGACATTCTGGGATGTAAAATTGCATTATTTTCTAATGCACTCTCTCTTTCATGGTCAATTATTTCTGAACCTTTCTGTATCTGTCCTGGATCTCCCACCATTCAGCTTTATTGAATGATCCGTGTTCCAGTATTGTGTGAGAGAAAAATGTATTCATATCCTATTTCCCTCCATCATGTACTAGTTAGGTACTCCTTTTATGCTCCTCTTACTTACCCATTTCCTAAATTAAACAGACCCAAATGTTGTGAGCTGCTCTTCATTAGTAAGCTGCTGCAGACCTTCTGATCATGTTGATTGCCCTTCTTTTGCATGTATCCCAGCTCTTCATTATTGTTTTTGAGGTACAGTGACCAGAGCCATATACAGCATTCAAAGTGTAGACACACTGTGGTTTTCTGTCAAAGCAGTATGATAATGGAGGTTTTAGTTCCAGTTCCCTTCCCTTAGTACTTGTTACATAGAGGCATATTGGCTGTGATTCCTGTGGCAATATGTAGCCAACATGCTTGCCATCCACATTATACTCTGCATCTTTTTCTAATAATCTTTTAGACCACCCAAATAGATGCCCCTAATGACATTCTGGGATGTAAAATTGCATTATTTTCTAATGCACTATGTGAAGAATGACCTTTTTGTATCTGTCACCATTCAGCTTTATTGGATGACCCGTGTTCCAGTATTGTGAGGGAGGGAGAAAAATGTATGCATATCCCATTTCCCTCCATCATGCACTAGTTAGGTACTCCTTTTATGCTCCTCTTACCTACCCCTTTCCTAAATTAAACAGACCCAAATGTTGTGAGCTGCTCTTCATTAGTAAGCTGCTGCAGACCTTCTGATCATGTTGATTGCCCTTCTTTTGCATGTATCCCAGCTCTTCATTATTGTTTTTGAAATACAGTGACATGTACAGCATTCAAAGTATAGACACACTGTGGTTTTTCTGTCAAAGCAGTATGATAGTGGAGGCTTTAGTTCCAGTTCCCTTCCTATGATTGCCAACATGGATTTGGCTTTTTGTTTTTGCAGCAGCAGCAGCAGCAGCAGCAACCTCGTGTTCGAATCAAGCTATATAACGCGACCCCAAACTCTCTTTCATGGTCAATTATTTCTGAACTCTATTCCTATCAGTGTAAATATGAAATTGGGATTTGTTTTTGGTCCCTCACTTGGCTAGGATGCAAATGACAAAGAAGCACAGAAATACTTTTAAACAAGGAAATAAAGTTTTGTATAGTAAGTTTTGGGAGGAATAAAATTCGCATTTCAGCTTCTAAGTAGATTCTGTGTTCAGTTCTGTGTTCTGTTCTAGGGAATGTGTTTTGGGTGAGTTCATATTAAAATACAAACCCAATGAACTTCCTACCCAAGCAGCCTATTTGCTCATCTTAGATATATAGCACTCAATACAGCATTTAAGTGCTCTTTGAAACTAACAAGATGATGTGCATCTCACCATGTTTCTGATTCCAACAATGGAATTCAATGTACCTAAAATAACTGATCATCTCCCACAGCTTATCCCCTTGTGACTTGCCCATGCGTTCAAATCATCACAAATTTAGCTTAACTGGTGTCCACTAGGGAAAGATTCCTCTCCATAATGACCTTTTGTGTGGGAAATTTACTCCCTAGACCAGTGATGGCGGGCCTTTATGAGCCTGAGTGCCCAAACTGCAACGCAAAACCAACTTATTTATTTCAAAGTGCCAACACTGCAATTAAACCTGAATACTGAGGTTTTAGTTTAGAAAAAACAGCTGCCCCTGCACTGCAAGGCTCAAATGCTTGTGCTTTTTTTCCCCCTACCACCAGTTTCATTGCCTGGCAGGGAGACTCGTCTTCCCTCCTTCTGGCAGGACTGGATAGTTGACTGTGAGCTCTGGAGCAATTGGAAGGGAGAGTGGAGCCAGCATCAGCAGCAGATGTGTGAGTGGACGGTCCGGTCCCAGGGGGCTAGACCCTCGTTACATCCAGCTGTGCGGGGGTATTTGTATTCGTATATGAATACGAATACCCCCATCTCTTGTCTTAGGTTTTTAGAATTATAAATTGCTCCGAGGACATGTGCCAATTGAGCAATATATACATTCAGTAAAGAGATAAATAGAGGTGGACCAGAACTTGTACAGCAGCTGAATTCTGTGTAAATGGTGGCAGCAGCTCTGAGAGCTGGGGTGGGGGATGGGAGTGATCCAATATCCAGCCCTCACCACAGTCCCCCTGATGGTGCCATCCAGTCAATTCTGACTTATGGTGACCCTTTTCAGTGTTTTCCAAGTAAGGAATACTCAGAAGTGGTGCACCATTCTCTTCTTGGGGCACTTAAGGACTGCGATGCTTACCCAAGACCACACAGATTGGCTATTTTCCCAAGAGAACCTTTGGCTTCAGATACCTAAATCACGGAGCTATCCAGCTAGCTATTTGGATGGACTAATCCTTAATATTTACAGAGCTGGGTTGCTAAAATGAACATCTGTATAGATAACATTGTTTGTCAATGTAATGGCATGTGTCACATAATAACCTCTTGGCTTGATTTTAGTGTTATGATTTATTCCTTACAAAACAGCATTCTAATGAATAGCTCTTATTTTTCTCTCCCAGGGATTTCTTTGCAAAATTCAAGCTTCTGGTAAGTATAAACCATTATTCCTCTTGAGCTGTATGATGTAAAATATCTAAACAACTAACCAGATCTAAGCTCATTCTCTGAAACTCCCAGTCTCTGCTCACTTTTGGACATCTTCAGTGGTTCACAACGGGTGTCCTGCAAAATTTAAGCTACCATGTGCAAAATCTGAATACTAGTTAACTTTTCTACTAGGTAACCATATCTGTCTAATGTGGACATTTAATTTCAATGTGGACATTTTTAAAAATTGGGTATGATTTTCAAATGATAGATGGAAGATCTTCTAAAGGTGTGATGTGGTGAATTGCAATGAGTAATAGTTTTGAGTTATATGTCAAGACCCTACTTTTGGTAGGTGGATTGAGAAGCGGGGTGCTGTACTATCTTAAACATAGCTTTTGTATGAGGTTTGCCTTTTCAAAGCAAAGATTTTGAAGAATCTCCCTGTCCAGCAATTTTTATAAAGATCTGCCCCATAGAGTCATGTGAAGAAAGATCAATAAAACAGAAATATTTATGTACAAGAAAGCTAGAATGAATCCATTCTCAATACTTCAGAAGACTATAGTGCCCTCTTGTGTAAAACTATCATTCCCCGACAGCTGTACAGTAGTCCTGCTTCTTGGAAAAAAAGAATCTGGATCCAATTAGGATTCAGCATAAATAAACATTTAACGGCATTGACCTTTGCAGAAGGAAACCCTAGTATTTCTAGAAGTATTATTAATTTAGTTATCATACAACACAGCCAGATAAGCCCAGTTTCCAACCCATTTGGAGCAATTTCTAAACTGACACAGCAGAAAGGACAGGATGGGAGTTGGGCTAAATCAGTGGTTCTTAACCTTGGGTTACTCGGGTGTTTTTGAACTGCAACTCCCAGAAACCCCAGCCAGCACAGCTGGTGGTGAAGGCTTCTGGGAGTTGCAGTCCAAAAACACCTGAGTAACCCAAGGTTAAGAACCACTGGGCTAAATGAACACACTGCACGGATATCCATATTAAATGCAGTGGATATGATAATGGTGGAGGAAAAATACAAGTTGTTACAGGTTGAGCCATTTGCCACTGAATGATGACAGTAAAGCTTTATTTCCTGCTGCATGTGGGCAAACAAGGTAATTGTGCTTCAAGCTGAAACTGTCCTTCAGGTTCTGTAGACACATAACAAGGTCATCTATACTGTATAGACAACTGGCAGGCTATGTGACTGAGTGCATATGGTGATGGTGGCTTGTGTGGCCATGGACAATCATCCTACTCTCTGGGTTAGTAGGTGAGGAAATGTTCATAAGAACCCCTCTGTCTTCCAAAGTGTTCCTTCACTGCTTGAGAAACTTCTGGCGATGTGAGCTTTATATGTCATGCTTTTGACAGGCATTTTTAATATATTGAATAATTAATATATTCACAGCGAATATTTTCAACAGTTTCTGCCATCATGCTCCCACATCTCTTTCTCCCACCAACCTGAGAAGTATGAAGGCCTGGACAGTAATGAAGTGCATGGGACAAAATCAATGTTCTCTTCACTTAAGTGTGAAAGGGACACTGCACCTTGATGGTAAGTTTAACCAAATGTCATGGTAAACACATGAAATTTGACATTCACCACAGGGTAGAAACGCACATACGGAAGACCCCAAGTTTGATTCCTGGCCTCACCAGATAGGTCTGTGGGTCTACCAAGATGTTAACGGGAATGTGCATTAACATAACTAACATTTCCCCCCACACACTGAGATTTCCATAGAATTACTGTACCTACTTCAGCAATCAGACTTGCAAATTAATTCTAATTTGCCTTCCAATTATGGATCACAAAACAAGGCATGCCAAATACAAGAGGTGTGACTGAGGAAGCTTATATGCTTTCTTTCAGTGGTTTTTCACCACTGAGAGAGCAGCACTAGTAAAAACATACTCAATGTAGTGGCTGCTTTGACCTTCAAGCTCTGGTGAGTCACTGCCAGTTCGCATGGACCAGTTAAATGGACAACTCACAAGCTGTGGGACAGATGTAGCTAGAAGAGGCCTTGGCGGCAGCCTGCTGGAGATATCTAAATCCCTTCAGTCTGGTAGGCAGACTGGCTAGAAGTTGAATAAGGTGGAAATGGAGACATGCAGGAATGGGGGAAGGAAATGGACATGAAGAGAGGTAATCCTCCAGTCAGATTTGGTCTCAGCAGGTCAGCCAGGTATAAGATGTTTGCATGGAGACAAGCTGTTAACACATTCTCAGTTCTGTGAAATAGAATTTAAAAAGTATTAGCTGAGGGGATGTTTTCTGTAAACAGAACTTGTGTATTTTGAAAGACTTACCACCTGACTACTCTCTTGTTGGGAAATGTGACAGCTAGCCTGCTGATAGATCTGGGGATTGCTGAAGAGGCAGACGCATTAAGCCTTATGCAATTCTTCACCATTGCCTTTTATCTCTGTGGGTGATTGGCATCTTTTCTTTCCCTTTTGCTCTTTCACAATACTGTACTCTCTCAGTTACGGCTGCTGTTTCCTCATATATATCAGAATGTATTTGTTCAGTTATGGCCAATATAGATTTCCCCATATGCATTTGAATCTGTTTCTTCACATGCTATCGTACAGTGAATGACTAGCCAATATTTTTGAATTATTTTCAGAAAGCATTCGTGGCATGGAAATTTGTGCCCTCTCTGTGGACACTCAGAAATCCAAATGTGTCAATGTGATAATTTCCAGGAATGTGCATGTAAAACTTGCTGGAAGAAAGGTAAACGTTTTATTTTGTTGTTGTTGTTGACATTAAATTATTCCATGAGTTGTACAGTCACATAATTACCATTTTGCTATTTTAGGGGAATGCTATATAGGGAATGGTTGATACTGTGGCTATAATCACAGGGTCTTCCTGTGAGCAAACCAGGTTCTAATATATTTCCTGTTAAGCAGAACTACATAATGTGAAGGAAGCTAAAGGTTTCTTCCCCATTGGCTTTGTAGTGCTGAAAAGCCACTTGGAAATATTGGGGTGGAGCGATTGTTTATTTATTTATTTATTTATTTATTTATTTATTTATTTCACCCATCTGGCCTAAAAGGCTACACAGGGTGATTCTTCTCTGGGGACATACAGTGGGGAATTGAACTCCAAATCTAACTCACTGAGCTATCCAGCCAGCCTGATATCTTCATTAAACTAATTGCATACTGTCCAGTGGATTCTCACTTATGATAACCATAACCAGGATTTTCTACATAGAGTACTCTGATGTGGTTTACCATTCCCTTATTTTGGGTGTGGGGTGGCATCCTGGGACTGTGCAGTTTCACCAAGGCCTCACAAGCTGGCTGTTCATTGGGGAATTTAACTCCCAGCCTCTGGTTCTGCCATCAGATATTTAATTCATTGAGCTGTCCAGCCAGCTGATACATTCATTCAGCCAACATAAATCAAGGGACAGGAAAGGAATACAAAGGCTTTCAGACTTGTATTCCCCTTCACTCTTCCTGTCCTTTGTAACACCATGCCTGATAAAAGTCACTGACCACAGGAGCCTGTGCACAATTATGTGTATTTAAAAAAAAACTCCAAAGGCCTAATAATACCGTACCCTAATGTAGAATTCGGATATTGAATGTGTTGTTCAACATGGCTGCCACTGCACTCTACATAGTTCACAACAAAGTTTCTATGCATGTTCAAGTGATGGATTCAATCAGATGCCCAAGGAAGCTTATTCTCTCAACTGCCCAGAGTAGTGTCTATTTATTAATGGAGCAGTACATAAACCAAGCAAGCAAGCAAGCAAGCAAGCAAGCAAGCAAGCAAGCAAGCAAGCAAGCAAGCAACCAACCAAACAAACAAACAAACAAACAAACAAACAAACAAACAAATTTGGAGAAGAGCATTGAGAAGAGTGCTTAACATACAGTATTGCTGTGTGTCAGCTAGTTTATATGCTACTTTTTCTTAGGAAGCTGCGCTCATGATTTTATTTATTTATTTACAAGATTTTTTAGCCGTGCCATTACCAATGGTCTCTGAGCGACGTACAACAATATTAAAACTTTAGAAAAACATTAAAACCATTAAGATATCCAATATTATAATAATACCCTATATTTTGATGCCAACCTGTCAAAATACATTAGGTTTTGAAAGGAAATGATTCTACTAAACATAATTCAGTTGAAACAAAGTCAAAACAATGCCACAGATGGAAGGTAAATTCAACATTGCAATGATATAGTCAAAGCTGAATACATAATTCACAGCAAAGTCAAAAAACAGCACACCCCAAACCAAAGAAACGGCACTAACCCTCATGTAGGCACTATACCAGCCATATGACAAGGGCTGCAGGAACTGCAATTCAGAGGGAGTGGGATCTTCTCATTAGGTCTGACTCTTTTAAGCTGACTCGCTGATCTCTCCTTTTTAAGGTATTTGGAAGAAACAAATGAGGTAGGCAGCTTCACAGTTAGACGTGAAACTGCCTTCAGAAGTAAAGGCATTTGATTATCCTTCAACAAGGTTTTATACTCCATAAATGACATTTTAATTTTATTTTATTTTTGGTCATTGGGAGTGACGTTGAAGAATATGTCTCTGGAAGGATAATGTTTTGTCACCTTCTAATTATGAAGCTGCCCTCTCATCTGTTTTTGCCCTAACAGCAGGAAAAGGGAAGCACTGGGAAGGAGGAATCAATTCTCCCCCATGAAAACTTCCTTCTCTCTCACTGATTCTTCCTTGCGACAACCTCCTTCAGTTGTTTTTTCCTGTGTCCCTGTCCACCTCTAGCTGGGTATGAGACCACAGGTAAGCCCAGCTTGGATGAAAAATGGAGGTGGGGTGGGGAAGGAGTCTCAAGGAGGGAGCTAGAGATATTTTAGGACCACTTACTTCCCTGCAGATGGACCTGGGTTCTCATTGCCACAAACTTGCCAACAAATAGGAGCACACTGGGGACAACTGGGGATAAAGGAGGCTGATTATGGAAGCTATTTCTGGGTTAGCATGTCTTTTTAGATATGAATCATTTGCCTCATCTCAGCTGTTTGCCTAATAAACACATCAGGAAATAGCTGCAGGCCCAAAGTACAACTGAAAATCCTGTAAAATAGGATCCTCCGCATTGACAAAAGGGAAGCAAGCATTTGATTTTAATTATTGCCACATTTATTGATGGATGAATGTCTTGAAAAGACTTGGTGGTCTATGTTTTCTATCTCGAAAGTACCTTAATGGCTTTGTATGTGTGTGGGCGTAAGTTGTTCCATGCCATTGTTCCCAGATGCTTTCCTTTAAAAGGATATGATGAAATGAAAACAGAAACCATCACAACCCATGAGAAACTAATTAGGCCTCACACTACTAGCTTCACACTTCTACAGAGCATAATGAGTGTTTCTCATTTCAGCAATGGCAGTTTCCTACCGCAGTTCCATTTCTTGATGTTCTGATCTGGGAACATATGCTGAGTGACTTGACAGTTCTATTTTGAATCAAAGTGATTTCTGCAAAATGATTTGATGAACTGCTTGACAGTGTTGACCTTTGCACTGATTGTGGTGAGAAACAGTCCAAGGTGTTCCAGTCAGGCAAAGAGATCCACACATGGATACAGCCTTCTGTGCATGTAGCAGACATGGATCTGGTGGTGCATCTGAATACATGTTCATAGCATGATGCTCATCTGAATTGTACAGATGCACTGTAAATGCACATGAGGATTCACATACACATCCAGGGGCATCAATGGTTTTATAGAAATTCTGTTCTTAAAAACAACTCTGGTTTATGAATGCGGGATACTGTGTGTCTGCATCCACATTTCAAAATGCCAGGAAATCACCTAATACTGATGCACAGTATTATACCTGTCGCCAGTGGGAACAAGGATGCTAGATTTTTGTTGTTGTTGTTGTTTAGTCATTGTGTCCAACTCATGACCCCGTGGACCAGAGCACGCCAGGCCCTGCTGTCTTTCACTGCCTCCTGGAGTATTGACAAATTGTGTGTCTGTATCCACATTTCAAAATGCCAGGAAATCACCTAATACTGATGCACAATATTATACCTGTCGCCAGTGGGAACAAGGATGCTAGATTTTTGTTGTTGTTGTTGTTTAGTCATTGTGTCCAACTCATGACCCCGTGGACCAGAGCACGCCAGGCCCTGCTGTCTTTCACTGCCTCCTGGAGTATTGACAAATTCATGTTGGTAGCTTCGATGACACTGTCCAACCATCTCATCCTCTGTCGTCCCCTTCTTCTCTTGCCTTCACACTTTCCCAACATCAGGGGCTTTTCCAGGGAGTCTTCTCATCAGATGGCCAAAGTATTGGAGCCTACTGGAAAAACCATAGCTTTCACTATGCACACCTTTGTCGGCAAGGTGAGGTCTCTGCTTTTAAAGATGCTGTTGAGGTTTGTCGTCACTTTCCTCTCAAGAAGCAGGTGTCTTTTAATTTCGTGGCTGCTGTCACCATCTGCAATGATCATGGAGCCCAAGAAAGTAAAATCTGTCACTGTCTCCATATCTCCCCCTTCTATTTGCCAGGAGCTGATGGGACCAGTGACCATGATCTTAGGGTTTTTTTGATGTTGAGCTTTTTTTTTTTTCCACTTATATACCGCCCCATAGCGCTACAAGCACTCTCCGGGCGGTTTACAATTTAATTATGCAGGCTACACATTGCTCCCCCCCAGCAAGCTGGGGACTCATTTTACCGACCTCGGAAGGATAGAAGGCTGAGTCAACCTTGAGCCGGCTACCTGGGATTTGAACTCCAGGTCGTGAGCACAGTTTTAGCTGCAGTACAGCGTTTTAACCACTGTGCCACGAGGCTCTTTCAGACCTTTTTTTGCACTCTCCCCTTTCACCCTCATTAAGAGGTTCCTTAATTCCTCCTCACTTTCTGCCGTCAGAGTGGTATCATCTGCATATCTGAGGTTGTTGATATTTCTTCTGGCAGTCTTAATTCCAGTTTGGGGCCGCGGACCGGGGGTTGGGAACCCCTGATCTACAGGATACCCTCTTCTCCTCACTACCATTCACAAAGACAAACAAAGCAAGGGAAAATCACAGAAGCTGACTCCTTTTTTGATCTGTTAACCATTCCTCACCCAAACACAAAGCAATTCTCAGTTTAAAAGTTGGACATTTTTGTTTTGGCTCCCATCGTTTTTAGAATTGCCTTGTAGAATTTTATTTGCTCTAGTAGCACAAGAACATTGCTGAACTCTTGTGCAGCAATAATGCACTCTCATGCAGCAGTAGTAGACCTGAATGACAGACAACATTCATAGATAGCACTATCCTAAGCATGTTTAACTGTAAGTCAGCCCCACTGCATTTGGTAGGACTCACTCATAAATGAATATGCGGATAGCGTCACAAGCTACATTTGAGGCAGCTGTGAGAAGGTCTGTGGACTGCCCTACCTCTTTTCTGACACATTCTGATAACTGTAAGTCTCACCTACCTAAGGTGATCAAATAGGGACTAAGGTGGTCCAGGAGACCTATAGAGGGTCTTTCTGGGCTGTTTGGGCTTACACAGTTCCCATACATGTTCTCGTGGGCAGCATTTCTGATCCTTTAGAATCAGTAGCAGATTTACAATTGATTTCTGTGAACAGAGTTCATCTCTTCCCTCCTTCAAACCATTTCTTTCTCTGTTATGTTTCTATTCCTCCAAGGAGTTTCAGAAGGCTTATATGGTTCCCTCTTCTTTTTTTATCTTCATATCCACTCTACGAGTTACATTTGACTGAGAGAGAGTGACTGGTCTAAGGCTACCCCATGAGTTTTACAGCCAAGCTGGGTCTCTGTGGCCCTTCTCTCTCATTTCAATCACACAGCTGTACTGGCTTTTCAAATAATTCACATCTCTGATTTATGATGCTTCAGATGTGACGAGACTGCTCATGTACCCACATGCACTTCAAGTGTGGGACTAAAATTGCCCTCTCATTATTCATTTACTGTATTTTATTTATTTACTTCATTGTTATAGTGCCTTTCCCCTGGTTATAAGAGACTGTGGCTGGCCCAGAGGAAGCCATGCATTCGTGCGGTACTACTGGATTGATACAATTTTCAAAATTCGTATCCAGTTTTCTGAAGAAAAAATGGTGCATGTCTTGAAATTCATGTAATGCACAGAAAATGATCGGTGCATTTTTTTAGCTGTGTATTTCTGGAAATATGATGGTACTTGAGTAAGTAATTGCATCCTTTTGGGGAAAGAAGTACCTTTCTTCTCCTTTTTAAATATCATTTGTGGTAAGAAAACAAAAATCATGTACTGGGAACAGGACTGAAACAGAACTTGAACAAGGTTTGAAGAAAGCAGTGTTGTAGAGAAAAATCAGAACTAATGTTTAACCTTGTTTGCATTTTCTAATCCTTCTGTATGTTCTGGAAATCACCTATACTCCCCTCAGTTTTATGTATGTATTCCAAACAGGTGAAAATGCAGTTTAATTGTTTTGAAGTCAGTGCAGGACAGCATTTCTATGTGACCATGAGGACGATTCCAAATTACTGCGGAATTAAATTGAGTCAAGAATATGATGTTGAGGGTAAGAAGCTGTAATTAGAAAAATGATCTTGGAGTGTGTGTGAGTATGTGTGTGTAGTGTATGTGTTGTGAATGCTAAAGTGAAGACACACTGGTGAGCACATGGTCAGTTTTCATGCATTTGCTAGGAAGTAGAAGGAAGATGGAAATCTCCTCTCAGCATTCCCTTTCTGTAGCAAATTTCACATAATGCTATGGTTGAAAATGTATAAAGAACCTCTGTCAAACTCAAACCACCCTGATGTCCCCAGAAAATAAAAGGCAGGGGCACAGTCAGCATGGAGGGTATTTCCTGGCCTACACTCTAGTCAAGAAGAAACTGCTAGTTCTCCAAACACCTCCTCCCATATTTATATCAACTCTATGCCATCCAACTGATACTGTACTGCTGAGAGTTTCTGTTGGCATCTGATCAGAGCTTGATTAATGGACATCCTGATAAAATAAGCTGAAACATCTGTTTTGTATTTTACAGACTGCAGAAACATTGATGTGGCAAGAAATATTCCCATGTGTTTTGGTAAGCTGAGGTCCATCAAGTCTGAATTACGTGTGAAACGCTGCCATTGTTCCTGAATTCTACTAATCATGGGTATCTGCAGTTTGCAACTAATCTGAAATGAAATGTATGGTTTGGTAAGCTGGTTTGCAACTACAGTAGTCTGAAATGAAATGTATGGTTTGGTAAGCTGCGGCTGATGGAAGACAGTTGTAAGACTACAATCAATGTTTTGCTTAACTTGTGTGTTGCAAAAATGCACACACAGTGCCATTGGCACATTCTTATATGTTTGCCCCACATGATTAAAAGAATATCCAGCCCAGAGGTTCTCTGAGTAAATCTATAGCCCATATAATTTGCTCTTCAGCGCTATATACATATAGGCACACATACTACTGGAACTGCTAGAACTTTATACCCAGTTAATAAGTTGTCTTCAGTGTATTCTTTCAAGCATCATGGGTGAGTGGAATCTCATGGTGCTTGTTGGGAGGCTGAGGCTGAAACATCAAGGCCTGTCCCATGGTATACATTAGTGTACATGCATCAGTGGGCTTCCAGATATTGCTGTACTACAGTTCACATAATCTCAGATAAAATGCTGTGTTGGCTGGGATAGATGGTAGTCCAAGTACCACAATACCCAGAGTGCTCAAGTCTTACGCTGCTGCTATTTGCTTGCACAGACAAATATTAAATATTAAGGATGTAATGAATACTCAGAACTTTTCTCATCTTCAGAAAAAAAGAGTATCTTGACACACTGAGATATCCTATTGCTCCTGCATAACAAAGAAAAGGCTTTTTCTGGGGTGGGTGGGCTCTGCTGCACAATGGGCAAAAAAGTGCTCTTTTAACACAAAAACTGGCATTTGGACTACAGTTCCCAGAATTCCATGCCATGCTGAGTGGGAAATTCTGGGAGTTGGTGTTTGGAAAAAACAACCTTTCCCATTTCTGTGAACTTCACAGACATAGAAGCTCAGCTTTCTCTCGTGCTCTGCTTCTCCTCATATACTTCCAAGCTACCAAGATTAGTCAAACAGGGCTGATGTATGCAATCCATGTGTTAAGTCTAAAACTAAAAGAGTTCCAGAGTTCTAAATTGCAGTCTTCTTGATAGTACTAAATGCTTTGATTAAATTTTGAAAAAATATTAGCAGGTACTTATTGCAAAATTCATATGGCTTGCTTTTTGAACTGGTAGAGATTTAGCAAGGAACTGGGTGATAGCGGGAAGTGGTATATGGTGTTAGGAGTGAATGAAAGGTATCAAGGTGCAGATGCAAGAGCTGTGTGGGTGGTGCGAAAGTTCAACCCCGGAACTTTTGAAAGTCTTGTACTCTCCACGGTGGTGAAAGTTTATCATATGTGACTTCCAGATTTCCAGTTTTTAATGTTTTTAATTGAGAGGAGCACAAATTATAATGCAAACGGAAGCTAACAAAGCTGCTGCCTGAAATTCTAGACTTAGTTGGGTGAAAAGGTATGCTCTCCTGTCTAAGGGTGCAGTTCTATTTTAAGAAAGTAATGGGCAAAATCCTGTTGGCGTAAAATTACTTGGTGCAAACTGGATCTGAGGCAGTAATATTCAGATTGATTGAAAACTTCCTATCCTTCACTTTCAAGTTTTGAACATCCCCCCCCCCCCCCGGAAGTCTTTGGGAACCCGGGGATGGGTTTGGATGCCTTTAGCAGTCAAACATTGCTGCTGGATCACTGCTGGTGGTCTCGATCCCGGCAATGCTGATGCCCACCTGCTATCCTGAGGTTCCCAAAGACTTCCTGAAGGCAAAAGGGAGGTGTAAGGAACCTAGAGATTGGAAAGGGAGAGAGTTAGTAATCTTTCAATTAATTTAAATTAAATATTAGGGCAAAAGGGAGGTGTAAGGAACCTAGAAACTGGAAAGGGAGGGGTTTAGGAATCTTTCAATTAATTTAATTTAAATTAAATATTATTGGCACTGGATCTGCTTTAAATTGTATATTTTTAAGCAACAGGATTTCACCTAGTAAATTTAAATCTATTTTAATGTTTGTAACTTTTATTGTATTTTCATTTTCTGTTGCTTCCTAGCTATGTTGTAAACCACTCTGGATCCCAGTTCTGGGGGAAAGGTGGCATGTCTGCCTGTCTTCAAAACACTTAATAGAGCATAAGCCTCACTGAAATTTCTTCTGAGTAGATATGGTCAGTAGATATGCTCAAAGCCATCTTCCACCCATAACCAGAAATGCATTGGAATGGGAAATGATAACTGACAATGCAATCCTATGCATGTTCATTATGGGGTTGAGGGGGATTTATTTCAAGGTAAGTTTGCATAGGGTTATAGCCTGAGAGATCTAAATACTAATTGGAATCAAACATTCTACAAAGACCATATTCATATTCTGGATATGGAATGTCATGTTTTTAATTATATCGACTAATATCAGCCAAATATTTCTTGTCCATACTAAATGCAAGCCGGAATATTTGTCAATATAATTACGTTTTTCTTTTTGTTTGTTTGCAAATTACAGATGGCAAAATGACTTATGAAGTGGACAGAGTCCAAAACATAATTTCCGTGAATATTTCTAATCTTGTTCAAGGCACAGATTATTATGTTCGTTTATGCCGTCAGTGGTTTGTGTGCGAGGATGAGGGGCCAGTTACCTTGGTAAGTGCTTTTAGGAAATGGAAAATATTTAGTGAATTACTCCCTTGGCAGAAGAAACTAACATCATTTTGTGGCATAATTCTGGTTGGAGGGAAGCACATTTATTACTACTCTCCCCATTTTCCTAGCTTCAACCTTCTCCTCCTTTTCTCTGCCTTTTTTTTTTTTTTTGCTTGCCTCAATCCCTTCAGCATTTTGAGAAGTCTAGTTAAGGTACTAGAAATAGGAAACAGGGCCAGTCCTACCTTTAGACAGAACCAGGTAACTATTTCTGCAAGCAGATAAGAAAGTGGGATGAACACCCCACTTGTTCCTCTGGCCATGCTCCTCTCTTTCAGAACAAAATGGTCTCTTACCTGTTCTCTAACACCCTGTAAACTAGCCTGCTTCTCTTACATGTGACCCAAGACCTTCCTCCATTGCCAGTGGAGAAGGAAGGCTTCATCCCACCCCTGTCAGCTTCTATACATGGCATGTTCATGAATGCTATCTTGCATTTTACCTCAGGCAGCACCATGTCTTGGGTCAGCCCTGGTAGAAAACACATCTGAGAGGAAATATTTGGGATTCATGATTGTAAAAGACATTCCTTTATCATTTAGATCATACTTCAGTCATGTGACTTTCTAGTTTAGAAAAAGATGTAAGTAGATGGCCTAATAGGATGGTATAAAATTATGCATGGTGAAGAGAAACTGGACAAGAGGGAAAGTTTTTTTTTTCCCAAAATACTAAATCCCACAGTCATCTAGGGAAGACAGATGGTGGGAGATTTAGGGCGGAAAAAAGGCTGTCCTTCCTCACACAGCACTTTGTTAAACTATCGAATTTTCAGTCACAAGATGGCTGTCAGCTTAGATGTCTTTCAAGTGGAAGAGACTGGAAAACACAGTCAGGCCTAGTAGTGCTGACAAATCATGGTGGCAGTATTTCATTTCCAGTAAGCTTTGTAATAGCAGATGCTAGAAAATATGAGCAGAATGTTCTGCTATGCCCATATTCTAGTTGTGGACTTTTTATATGATTCAGATGAACCACCGTGGAAACATCAAAGCAAGCCTTTCGGCTGATCCAACAGGTTTCCTCATATGTTCTTCTATGAATAAATTTTGACTTGCTTGTTCATTGTTGGATTACACTCAGTTCCCTACATCCCATTTTCCACTTATTTACATCATCTAGGGAAGTAAGACACAGATAGATATAAAGTTTAAAAGCTGCACAGAAGAAGAAATTTCATTACGTATGACAGTGGTCAGCCTATAGGGTCTGTTTGTCCATAAACCCTTTTCTATAAAAGAGTCTAATTTTCCCCCATACACAGTCTGGATGCACAGCTGCAGTTAGTTTCATTCCAGGTCTTTCAGAAGATGTCATCTACCCTACTGTGTTGCCTTGCCATCATCCTTAATGAATATGAGCTGGCCATGGGGCTTTTAAAACTCTAAGCTCACAGTGCCATGAAAATACTGTGACAACAGCATTGAAGTAATCATCTTGAGCCGGTCTGAAGCATTGTTCTGTTCAAAAAGCAAGCAAAGTGCCTGTTGTGACACGTAAGTGTTTTCTGAAACAGCACTTATTGTGCAGAGTTGCTTGACTTACCACCTGCTGTTTTATACTTTCAGATTCAAAAGAAGGACACGGTGAAATCAGTTTCTCTCCAGTACACGCAGGTGCTGCCTTGCCTGTGTATTGAGGTAAATGTGCCCAATTAGTTCAATATGCAGCCTGGTTCAAAACACAGTAGTTTAATAAAGGGCCATAATTTTGGGTCAAGGGCAAAAACTGTAAGCTGAAACCCAAAGAAAGATTTATCAGTAGAATTCATTTGAAAATAATATTGAATGCTAGTGCTACATTCCAGTGTTAACACAGGCCGCAGACTATGTGGGAGAATAATAAAGAACATTTGGAATGGCTTCCCAACTCATATGGCAACCTTCATTCCTGTTTTTAGATGGATAGAGAAGATGCACGCAGATTTTCTAGAAAGGTGATTTTGTGCTGAGTTTTAAACTATAAATCTAGACTCGGGACATTGAACCTAGACTCTAGTAGCACTTTACAGATTAGGAGGGTTATTTTAGTATAGATTTTCCTCAGATATGTCTGAGGAAGTAGATTTAATCTGTGATAGCTAAACTAAGTCTTAAAGGTTTCTCTTGCTTTGCTGGAATGGCTAAATATGGGGAAGTGCTGAAAATGTCTGTAAATTGTTGTTTTATTTTAAATTTAAGACTACTACACATTTTGTCCTTTAGATGTCTGCTATTCAAATTATTCTATAAGACCATCTTTATTTTACTTATTTTCTTTTCTTTTTGTTTTTCCCTAATATGCTAACATTGATTAACACAGCTACCTATTCTAAACCTTGTAAAAATGTGTGGCAGAAGCTGATTTGGAAATACTACATAAAGTTTAAAATGCTCTCAGAATAACTGTATATGCACTGTATCTTTCTATATCTTGCCACCACATATATAGGATTGGGACAAAGAGCTTCTATCTAGAAGCTATTTAGAAGCCTGATAATTCTCCTTTTAAAAATCCTGACTAATGTCTTATATGAATCACCTGGTGCTATCCGAAACCAGTGGACTGCAATTTCTATCATACCCAGTTAGCATGGGAGTTGTAATGAGATGTGGTTGAGAAAGGCTGATGCAAGCATTATCTTGTTTCCCCAAATATTTATGTCCTCTTCCTCCTCCTCCTCTTCCTCTTCTGTGCTAGTAGAACATTCTGGAATTTACAATGCCTGGGCAGATCTCCCTTTAGGTTTCTATTCCATGTGATAGTTTACTGTGAACCATATCACGAGGACATGGGACTAAAGTTTATCTGGACAAGCTACAGTGGAATATATTTTATATCAGGAGTGGGCAAAGTTGCAATTTATGAATCCCTTTGGATCCCTTTTAGCCCCATAGGGCTGAAAGCAGAATTACAGACTTCCCCAGACCTACCAAACCATGAAGCCCCCTTGAATCTGGAATAGTAAACTCACACACACCCCCAGATGATGGTAGGGTGTCATTTGCTATATAAATATAATTTCTCCATGACCTGTTTTAGACTTTGAAAGGCCTTCCCCCACCCAATGAAATTATAAATCGCCAGCTGATCACTTCCTGTTTTTAAAAAATAAAAATAAAAGGCCTTTGAAAGTCTGAAACAAGACACAGGGTTGGGAGAAACACTGAGTATTCATAGTTGCTAGTAAGACGCCAAAGGGTCACAAATGGATAACGCATGGCAGCTAGGATTGCTAAGAGACAGCATGCAGGAGGGAATTGGGATTGCGGGAGAATAAATGTTTCATTGTTGTTATTGTTTTGACTTATATATTGCCCCACAGTGTTAAAGACTCTCTGGGTGGTTTACAGCATAATTATGCAAACAACAACTTGCCCTTCTGCTAGCTAGGTATTTATTTTGCCAACCTTGAAAGGATGGAAGGCTGAGTCAACCTTGAACCTGTAGGGATCAAACTCAGGTAATGAGCAGAGGCTTGACTATAGTACTGCAGTTGAGCCACTGTGCCACCAGGCTCTGTAACCATTCCAAAAATCCTGTTTTTCACCTAGATTACTTATAACACAGGCTGAGACCTACTGCTGCAAAGGACTCTCAACCTGTAAAGCAGGGATAGGGGAACTGTAGCTCTTAGAATTTTGCTGTACTGGAGTGGCCAAGGGTCCAGATTTGTAATTGGACCGTGGTCCTCTTTTTCACCAGGATTTGAGCAGTCTGCTCTGACCAGCGTAATGGCAGTAGTGCGTTTTTCTCCTTTGGAAACAAACGTCTATTCCTTCTTCCTCATCCTCCCTATCCAAGTTGTTAAGGCTGTATGGGCCCTCACATGGGGATCCCTTCTCCCCCTCTGGCCAACTGCACCATGATACTGACCCTGTCAATCACTCCTCATCTCCTCTTCCTTCTACAGCACGGTATGGAGTTCTTTCCTTCTATAAAAGATCATCCTTTCCTTTCCTCTCTTACCCTTTATAGGAGCCTGTTTCCACTATCTGTCTCTCATAGTGCTGAGAAGAAAAAGAGAGAGGCTTAGAAAAAAGGCAGTCCCCTTTACTTCTCAGAGATACTGTGTGGCATCAGGAGACGTTATCCCATATAAGGCTTCCTCAGCAGTACAGAGATGTGCATCAGGAAGGATGTGATCTTTAGGAAGGAGAAACCACATACCATCACAGGAGAAAGAAGAGAAGAGGGGTAGCTGTTGTTAGAGTTGGTATCATGACATGGGAGGGGGAGGGGGAGAAGATGCCCCAACCCAACACCAGGCATCCATAGCATTAGGGAACAGGACTTTTTATTTGTTTATTTATTTATTTATATTGTTTGATAGGGGATGGGGGGGGGAGGAGGGGAGAGAATAAATAGTAAATACTGCTTGAAATGGCTAGAGCCAGAGTTTGGGAATTCAATTTCCCACTGTGCCTCCTGGGAGAACAGCCAGCCGGTTTGGCCTTGGGCAAGTTGTACAGTTCCATAACGCCCCCCAGAAGAAGGGGATGATAAACCACTTCTGAGTATTCTCTATCTGGAAAACCCTGAAAAGGGTCACTGTAAATCAGAATTGATTTGACAGCTCGTGATTATTATTATTTGTCTTTATATTCAGGGAGCTTCTGAACATTCAAGTGAAGGGGCATTTCAGCAGATTATTAAGCGCTGTGTTGATTTACTTGATTTACTGTTTGCCATGCCTTCTTCTAGTCCTGGGTCTCAAAGTGGTCACCTGGTTAACAGTCTTCTGTGCTATGAGTTGCATTGTGTTTTGAATTCAGTTATAGTCTAAGTATGGCAGTGTTTACATATGTTAGTTTAAATTATCGTATGGAAAATTAAAGCAAAAATGTCTCTTTTTGTTGTTGTTGAAAAATACCATCCTTTTTTAGTGATCCTTTTCCTCTATGTACTCTTATTTAGTGATGGAGCCACTTTGCGTTGTACGGTGCCTTCTCTTATGCTAGTGGTTCCCAATCCTGGGTCACCTGATGGGCAGCACAGCTAGTGGTGAAGGCTTCTGGCAGTTTTAGTCCAAGAACATTTGGGAACAAATGGAAACTACTTTCTTATGCCCATTCATCAGCTATGCTGGGTAGAACTGAGGGGAGTTAAGTCTAATAAGCTTTGGAGGCCTCCAGTCCACATCCCTTCTATAATGAATGCTCCAAATGGTCCAATATTTTCTCCACAGGAATCTTAGCTTGGAAATAGACTTATAACAAATTGATCATATGAACTAATGGGTACATGTTTGGATTCTAGGCATGGCCAGCTATCTCAGATGCACGGAGAATACAGATATGCCCATTTAAAAACGGCAAGTGAAATGCTCTTCTTACTTTTTTTGGGCGGTTAATAGCCTGTTTGAGAAATGCATGCTAATGGGAGGATAATATCACAGCCAGCACCATTTTCTTTTGAAAACATAGATTATAGCAACAGCTTCTTACTCAGAATTTTCCACGGAGGTGCATACCTTGGGCAGAATCTAAGTCAGAAGTTTGGAACTGATCCTATAAAGGGGGGGGGGAAGCTGACCTTTTTTATATATAGTTGGCCCATAACTCTTTTATTGTGTACATATTGTATGCATTATTCTAATATTGTTAGATATTAGAATATATAAATGTTCTCTGGGCAGCATACAGTATAATAATCCATAATATAAATGTTCTCTGGTCAGCATACAGCATATAATCATAAACATGTTTTAAATAGAAAACAAACCATAAAATCATAAGCTATATTATGGGGCAACAGCACACAAATATTAAAAAATGTACAGTATGTATGTGTGTTTAGTCAATGATATATGGTTTTATGTGTGGCAGTGAAATTGCTAGACTTGGGGATCCTTTATCTTTTCAGTTATTTCAACTATCTGTTCTTTGAACAATATTAGAATAATGCATACAATATGTACACAATAACAGAGTTATGGGCCAACAATATATAAAGAAGGTCATGCTCAGTTCTGCTGATTCTTGTTTTTTCAGCTTGGGAGTGTGAACCCTCTGCCTCCAAATTTATGTATGGAATAGGAATCTTGCCCTTTGACTTGGGAGAAACATATTTTAGCTGAATCCTGCCCCTTCATCTTCTGCTCCTGATTTTTATTTATGTTTATTTGTGTTTACTTTGAAAAGAAAATGCCAGAACAAACTTATCCACAACCCCATCCAATGCACAGGTTTGACTTTAGACAACTGTTTCCACATCCTTGAAGATCTGTCTACTTATGGCAAAGAGCCACAGTCTGTTCCAGGTCACTAGAAGATGGTGTAATACAAATGTCCGGGGGGGAAAGTGTTTACCTTATGCATATTACATAATGACAGGCAGACAGAATCTTTATTGCTTAACCCAGAGACCATAGCAAATACATTATATTAGTACAATTATGCACAAATATTTTTCAAATACTTGGATCTACATATAGAGGCTCTGCACAAATATTTTTCAAATACAGTACTTGGATCTACATATAGAGGCTCTAACCACAAATATTGCAACTCTTTATTATGTGTAATTTGGATGATTGTAATAAGAAGTTCAGTTTCTCTGAGGTACTCCTACTTCTCACTTTCTTTAAAAAAGACTGTAGATATTTTTCTCTTATATCAGCATATAAGGGACAATCAAGCATATAATGAGCCAAATCCTCAAGGACTGGATTGCCACAAACACAAAAACAAAAATTATTGTTTTTATGTATAACAATAATTGATAAAGTCTCATTAAAGCCTTTTAGACAGTGTAGTCTGAAATGTATTGACTAAGAAGCATATGCATGTATTTATGAAAAAGAAGGGCAGTACTCCGCTCTCCTTCTTTCCTAATAAACTCATTCAGGATTGCACTTTCACGTGGCATCTGAAAACCTGAGTCCAGAGAAAAATAAGTGCAAAAAAAGACAAGAATGAGAAGGTTACCAGTTCTGCTTTCTCCTGCACTTGAATTTCATAAACCTCAAGTTCCTTCCATTCTGAATATGAAAAATGTTGTAAGTTTTGGTCAATTCTTCAAAAACAAACTCAATGAAATTCTCATCTGTCTGGACCAGTCAAATAAAATACACAGAGCTGTTTCACCATGAAGAAGACGTTGTGTGCCTTCCTGCCCTATAGGTATCAAAAAAGAAAGAGCTCTCAGAAGAGAAAAGAGGGCAACCTTAATTCAGCAGAGTGATGCAAGTCCTAGCATTTTAAGAATTCAAGCCCTGGGCTTGAATGGATGAATCTGTCAGTTCTGGCTTCTCCAACATTCAGATGCTTTTGATCTTAAGTTCTTCCCACTCCAGAAGGAAGATATTTGTAAATTTCAGTCAATTCTCATAAAAACAAAACTAAAATTGCATTTTCGCTTATTGATGAATGAGATGTGTCGTTGGAATGATGAGAAGCATTTAGAAATGAGCAGCCACCTTGAACCAAGAAAAAAAGGAATTAACAGAAAAGGGAGTGATAAAAACATCTTGTCTTAAACAGTTTTGTTTTCATAGCCCAATACCAAAGAAACTTCCTTCCTTTGATTTTATCCTGCTTTTCTTTAAAAACCAGGACTCAAGATGGCCTTTTCCAAGTAATCATTCAAATAATATGCTTTGGCATACAAATACTGTTTTAAATCCCACTCCAATAAATTAAAGCAAAGCAACAACAACACTGGTTTAGTAAATTAACTGTTCTTCTTTGTGGCCTCTGTGAATGCACACAAATGGGTTCAATCTGTGCCTGAATTGTGGATTGGTCTTTTCCTCTTCTTTGATGTCGATAAACAAAACTCTGGGAATCCAATTCTCTAAATTGATTTAGTGCGTAATAGATATATTATTTCTTTTAGAACCAATGTAGTTTAATGATGATGATAATGATGATGATGCATCTAATGTTGAGGGAAAAAAACTACTATTAGTGAAAACATCCTGGTTTGGCCTGTATGTTTAAGTATGGCAATAAAGGAGTTCTATGGGCTACTCTGCCTTGGGCACATTAATTCTACATTAATCTGTATATGCCCTCTAATGCTGACATCCAGCATATTGCTAGGTCTCCAGAATGTGTTGTGTTAGTGTTTGTGTTAGTAGTAGTGGTAGTCATAGTGATAGTGGTAGTGGTAGTAGCAGGAGAAGGAGGAGGAAGAGGAAGATCCATTGGCCTGTAAATTTCTTCTGCTGACCTCTCCACTCAGTCCTCAACTTGAGGTCACTAATGTGTGTATAATGTCAGTGATCATTGGCTTGGTGACACAGTAGGATGGATGATGTAGTCCAGCAACACCTGAGGACTTGAGATTAGGAGACCTGAATAACATTACGTCAGAGTTCATTTTATTCATTTGGTTAAAAACTTCCTACATTTTACAGGTGCTTTATAAATGTGCAGAAAATGAGATTTTTAGGAGAGCATAGAAATAGCAGATTTGCCCATCTAGGCAGAGGGCTTGGAGTATGTAGTAATTTTCAATAGTCTGGGTTTGAGACCCTGTATTCAACCACATTCAACCACTACATTGGTGCTGAATTATGCCTACCACTTTTCTCTCACTTTCCAACTCTCTGTTTGCCTCTCTCTTTCTGACAAGGCCTTCATTTTAGTAGGTATATGGCAGGCAGGCACAATGTATTCCTCCTTATGCTAGGTAGAGCTGTAACCTCTTGATCTGACCAATAGAAATGTTGAGAATTTGATTCCATTTTTAATGAGAATGTGCCTAAATTCACAGATTTCTTTAGGAATATGAAGGAAAGGGTTAAGGAAGGGGAAAAAATTAGTGTTGAGATAAAGTCTATAGCAGTGGTGTCCAACCTTGGCCCTCCAGATGTTCTTAGACTACAGCTCACAGAAGCCTTCACCACCACCTCTGCTGGCCAGGATTTCTGGGAGTTGAAGTCCAAGAATAT